ACCCTGTAACCTCCAATCACCACTTTCACTTTCCTTATAAATCTATCAACACCAAGAAACCAAAAACTTTTGAGCCTGAAATCAGGATTACACATACCCTTCCTCTCTGTGTATTGATAATGGAACCTCATTGTCCAAATCCAGCAGACTGTCCAAAAGCAAAAACTCAACAATATAACAACAAAATAAGGTGAAGGAATAATGATAGATAGTCCTCAGAGATAGTGAGTGAATGACAGAGAGAGAGGGATATGGAGTTAGGCCCCAAATATATGCCAGTGCATGCATCAGCCACCCCCCCACCTCCCCCCATCTTGCTTCTCCTGGCCAGAAGCTGTTTACCTCTCTATCAGCGGTGCTCTCTAAAAGCAGGGACCCCATCCATATTCACCAGCCTCAAATTCCTCTGCTTATCTCCTCCCAACCCTTGAAAAACCTCCCCGTGTTCCCCTCTGCACATACATACATACATAAACACGTCTTTATGGAGGCAAGAGGCAAATGCGCTAGGCCAGAAGGAGGTCGGGGATAAGAATCACCTTGAATTCAAAGAAGAGGACTGTGGGTCCTCGGACAGGCAGCCAGCCACACAGGCTCATGCCAGCATGACATACAAACCGGGAGACAGGCAGGGGGAGGCTTTAGGGGATGGGAGCAGATGTGTGCGCCAGGGGCCACTGGCAATTCAGAGGATTTGAAATAGTGCGGTGTGATGCTTATGAAATTGTGTGTTGTTAGATAATATGCATCATTAAACGATAAGTGCACATGCAAGCTGTGTTTCTGCAGGTGCGTGTCAGTATCTGTTACAGTGGATCTTCGGCCTCCTGGAGTATTAAGACATGGAGCCATATAAGTCTTTCAGAATCCAGACTTTGGTATTGATATTGATTTTTTTTTTCATTTGTCATAAAGTTACTCCAAAGAACTCCAAAACCTTAGCTGACACCAGAAATATCTGTCAGATGTTATCACCTCAGAAACCTAACTGTATTAACTTTTGTTCCCAATGTGGAGATTTACAGGAAGTGGACAAATTACTTATGGTGATGGATGCTTTGAAAAGAGCGGCAGGAGCCTGGCTGATAAGAATTGAGAGTATACTGTAAGTAAAGGCTCAAAGAGTGCTTGAGCATAAGCAGAGACACATGGTGGTGGGGTGGGGGGTGGTACACCGTTCCACTGCAAGCTCCGTTGTTTTGGGATTGAAGTTGGGAACTCTCTCCACTACTAATTGCGTGCTGGTGCCTTTCATGAATATTCATTCTGGTGTGTTCAGACCCCGCCTAATTAGCCGAGAGACAGAAGAAGAACCTCGCACCTTTTACCACAAGAGAAGAGTTTCCCCCGGTAGCATTCTCAGGGGGATGCTGGCAGAATAGCCCGAGTTCATTAGCCAAAAAAGAAAAGGAAAAAAGTTACCTGAGAAGCACGGGACAATTTGGTCTTCAAAATGGATGGACAAACAGAGTTTTTTCCCATTGCATATTTAGTGCTTATTACAGATGTCTATCAAAAGAAAAAAAAAACAATTATCTGATTGAGTTGGTGAATATTATTTTAGTGACTGTAATTGGGAGGTGCATCACAAGAATTTTAAAATCTAAACATAGCTTGTGGCAGGTTGAAAAGTTCCCCCTGGAATTGAGGAAGACAAACATCTGAGACTGAGGCCATTATAAGAATGTGAGTGTGTTATACCTTTGGAAAATAAAATCTGATTAAACCTTATGTTAAATTAAATATTTGCATATTTATAACCTTAAAATAAGGACTAAAATAACCTGCTCTAAAGTCTTGAAGCTCACTTTAACATTTTAGAATAGAGATTGGATTCATTTAAAATGTTCTAAATAATCATTTATCCTTTTTCCCTTTTGCCTGTGACATAACTTCACAGTTCTTTCCTTATACATTTATTGCTTATTATTTATTTGCTATTTGCTTTTGGCAGAAAGAGATAGAAGGAAGCCTAACTGAAGGGTGGGTTGGGGTCCTATTGGTTGAGATGTGTCCTGACAATAACTGGTGCATATTGAATAGACTGGGGAAAAGATTAACACGTGACTGGGTGGAAAAAAGAAAAGGCCCTTCATTCTAATAAATAAACATCTAAATGACAGTAGCATGATCACCGTTATCAATGCTTTAAGCCAGACTTGTTTCCAAAAAATAAATCAACAAAATTAAGCCCAGTGTTTAGAGCGTGTATTGTCCTTGTTAAATGTACTTTTTACAGTGTCATTTCTAATGTCTGTCCAGCACCACTGGAAAGAAACTCACAAGAAAGTGATGAATAAATCAGAGGGCTGTATTTCCAGGGTGATACAAAGAAGACACTGATTTCTGGTAAAAGAGGTCACCCAACTTCCTCCACACTCATCTCTGTGGTTCATACTCAGTGTGCCTTGTAATTTCTTCCTTTTTAAATCCATCATATCGTGTTCATTTCCAGCCGCTTTTCCTGTACGGCCTGTCATTCACCACTAAGTTCTGTGTGATCCCTTTCATCGAGCGTGCCATGGAAACCTAGTGCGCCCTGGCAAAAATGCACCTCAGCACACACAAGGCCATATTCTTTACAAAAAGGGCCAGAGCATCTGGATCTTTCTTTTCCAGCAGCTCCTCGCTGGCATGGCAAAGCACAAGACTGGGTCTGTGTGGCAGAGACCACTGCTTTTTATAGACTGGGAGACAAGAATGACTGAATGGCTAACACATCTTCATTAAGTGAGAGCTGCGCGGAGCTCTGGTCCCTTATACTGACACGCAGCCACTGAGGTCTCTGAGGAGGCGCAGATAAAAGACACTGACAATAAGAAATGCCCTTAGGGGTCGCGTTAGAAAGAAACCGTAGTCTTACGTTTTCTGATCTGCATTTTATACGATCTCTTTGAATATTCTACTAAATATCAAGTACATAAAATTGTGTTAATAAAAAAAATAAGTGCATAACTGTAGCTCAATCCATTCCATGTTAAAATCAAGCATTTAATCTGTAAATTATTGCTTTTCTAGAATTAAGGGGAAAATGCATCATAGTGTTTCTAAAAAGGAGACATACTCCTAATACTGCCAATAAAAGGTTTATTTTATTCAAAAACATCATCATATATCCTAAAATCTGACTTTGTTACTAATGAATTGCCTTAAAATGACGCACAGATAACTCGCCAGGATTGTCTCTTACTCATTCCAAATAAATATATGAAGGATGGATGGACAAAAACCACGCCTTTCAAGAGATGATGACGAGCACCTGTGACCCCGACAACATTTGCACACACACACACTCTACATTGTTCACGCTGAAGACTAGAGTACAGCAAGGACGCGGTCACAGCAGAAAAGAGACAACTTACCTTTTAGTGATGTAGTCCCGGATTAAAATGAACACTGGAGTGGAGTCGTCCTGTAAATAGAAAGAGAATAGTCGCATGGGGAAAGATGACAACAAACAAACACGCGGGAGAGATAAAAAGGCAAAACATTGCTTTCATGTAAATGATTAAAATGGGACTGTTGCGCCTGAAACCTCTTCCAAAAAGCTCCTGTTTTAGAAGGAGTGGAACATGCGCCTGATTGCAGAGTTTTAGGCGAATGGAACGGAAGAGATGTAAGATTTGTTTAAAGCCCCGCATTTCCATTTAAGAACGTGATTGTGTTTGCAAAGATCCCTTTCAATCTTCGCATCCCCCTCCTCCCCTCGCCTCCCTCCCTCTTCCCCTTCAGCGTCTCTGAGGCTGCTTTGCAATTCATAGAATTGGTAATTTGCTATTGGGACAAAACGTGAAGGGAAAAATAATCAGATCAACCGGGAGAGGTAGTAAGGAATAAGCCAGGAGGAAGAAACACAAGGTTTCTCTCTCCAAGTTGCTGCTTAGTAAAATGCTTCGAGAGGTAAATGATATAAGAATATAGCCTATTTTATTTTCTTACATCGGCTAAATCTGAATTTCCAGGGCTGAGTAAATCGAGAACAACTGCAGTACCTTGGAAGTGAAGATACAATGTCATATAAATTAAATTAGATAGTGTTATGGTAAATTATGAATTATTATTATCAGATATGACACTACACATTGATAACCTCTATATTAGAGCGTATTGTGATACTGAATGATGTGACTAAATAGTGTTTTATACCTGTCACCTACACCACTATTAGTGTGCGTGCCTGCCTGCCTGCGTGCATGTGTGTGCGTGTGTGGATGTAGAGCGACAGAGCCTATCTTGGCCTATCATAACTAAGTGGGTGGTGATGATGAGATCATACAACATTGAAAATTGCCGAGATAATACAAATAAATGACACACTCCGCGTATGTCAAATGCTTAGAAACAAAGCAAATGCTTTCATATTTGTCACAGCATTTAAAGCAGCATTCAAAGACATCACGCGCCTCGTGTGGGTGGCTGCAGAGCGGGAGCATTGCGCCTTATAATCTGTTTAAAATGAGGCGAGCTATAATCATCAGTGACCTATTATAAAGGTGCACGGGTGCGTGTTTGTAAGTGCGTGTGTGTGTGTTGGGGTTGTGGGGGAGCAACCCTTCAAAAAGATCTCCGTACTCCCCCACGTGGTTATTTGCAAAACAACCGATCCGAACCCGGTACACCTAATCAAACCCCGCTGCTGCAGCCCTGTTCAACTTCCCTGGAGAGAAGTGCAGAAGGAATAGACAGGAGGTTGTTATGCGTGCGCACCAGTTATCAAAGGAAGTACACAAAATGAGAGAAGTACTGTTAAAACTCAAAGAGACATTTAATAAATAGAACATATGGTTTTCTATAACATATGTAATATTGGACCTCTATCCATCCTGTGCGAAAAAGGCGCTGTGCTAAGCTCTGAAACCCTGCGCCTATTGAATATGTCCCTAGTGGGCTTGAATCGGAGAGGAGCCAATGCAAGCGGAGGGGGGCGTGTCTTCGCTCTTCCCCAAGACCTCCCAGAGCAGGTTGTTGCGTTTTGGCACTAAAGTCTGGAGACCTCCGAAGTGCTCGTCAGTTTTCGAAGTAGGAGCCATGGCGACAACAGCTCAGTATATTCCGAGGAATAACTCCTTACCGTCTAACCCGCTCATGCATCCGGATTCGGATAGGATGCACCAGGGGACGACCTACAGAGAGGTGCAGAAAATGATGCACCATGAGTACTTGCAAGGGCTTGCGGCTACCAACACGGGACACCCGATGAGCCTGACGCACCACCAGTGGCTGCCCACCTCCAACACCGACTGGTCTAGCGGCACACACATCGGGCAGCAGGAGCACAAAGCCAGCGTGCAGGCGAGCCGGGAGCATCCAACGGCCACCAGTCACTGGTCTACTCCCAGCCTGGATACACAAACCTCAACGCTATGCTGAGTCCCCAGCCCGGTTCCCTGCACCATGGCATGCGAGACCCGCTCCACGACGATTCGGGCAGCCACGACAACCAGATGGAGTCGCCTCAACAGGCGTTCAGCCACCATCAGGACCACTCGGACGAGGACGCGCCCAGCTCCGATGACCTGGAGCAGTTCGCCAAGCAGTTCAAGCAGCGGCGGATCAAATTGGGCTTTACGCAAGCGGACGTGGGCTTGGCCTTGGGCACCCTGTATGGAAACGTCTTTTCTCAGACCACTATCTGCAGGTTTGAGGCGCTGCAGCTCAGCTTCAAGAATATGTGCAAACTTAAGCCGCTCCTAAACAAGTGGCTGGAGGAGACAGACTCGAACACTGGCAGTCCCACCAATTTGGACAAGATTGCCGCGCAGGGCAGGAAACGAAAGAAGAGGACCTCCATTGAAGTGGGGGTGAAAGGGGCACTGGAAAATCATTTCTTAAAATGCCCAAAGCCATCTGCTCACGAAATCAGCACTTTAGCCGGCACTCTGCAGTTGGAAAAAGAGGTTGTCCGTGTTTGGTTTTGCAACAGAAGACAAAAAGAGAAAAGAATGACACCAGTGGGGGTCCCTCACCCGAATATGGAGGACGTATATTCCCAAGCAGAGACCCCTCCTCTACACCGCACACTACAGAGTCCTGTGCAGTGACTGTTTTCATGAACAATCCGAGAGCATTACCACGGGGGAATAGAAAGGGGAAAGGGACTGTGGAGTTTACAGTATTTGTTTGGCTTTTGTTTTCTTGACAGAAAAGAGACTTGGAAAAGTTGAACAGATGAGTTTTGCCCTTAGTATTCGGAGATCATCGTGTCCAACAAATAGATGGCAAAAGGGATGTGTTAAGGAAAAAAATCAAGAAAAAAAAGAACAAATGTTCGCTATTACTGATTCCATGCGCATTTAAAATGAAACAAAGATGTTTATTTACCAAAATTATATGGAGGAGACATGCATATAAAGTCAATTTGATATCCCATGGCTGTGTCACATGTGGAGTAATTAAATGTGGCAACTGAGGCCATCTCCTCCTGGTGTACCATGAACTGCTGGCGCTCACCAGAATGAGGTGGCTGCCTGAAAATGACCAACACTGGAGATGAATAGCCTACACTGAACGAACATGTTGCTTTTGCAGGCTTAAACTCATTAACCAGATTTCTGAATATTAGTGTGTACTTTCTTTGTCCTATTAAGTGTGACGTTTTGCTTTGGAAATGCGTTAACTCCAGTGTCTTTCTCTGCTTGCTGTCTATGATTTCTTTTATTATTTGTTCTAGGTACTGTAACTCATCAGAGCAACCTCTGGTTTCTGTTTACTCAGAGTTGATGGTGGAGATGTGATGGAAATTATGGCACTCGTTAAAACACTCATTATTAACGTCAGATACATCTCAGAAAAATGTCCAGTGCAACAGGACGTCTCAGTTCTGACTGCATGCCTTAAAAATATTTAAAGCTTTGCAGCTGACCACGTCGAAATTTGCGAGCAGCACCAGACTGAAAAGGGCAGTTCTACGCACGCGTTTTCTTGTTTTGTTGTGTGTGGGGGTTCTTGTTTTCTAATTATTGTTTTCTTTGCATGGAGCACTTATTTTTTCTTTAATATTATTATTGCTTTTTAATGTGTTAATAACATTGCGAGTGGAGCAGATCTGAATAGACAAACACAATAAACCACAGTCTTACAGCTTCCTGGTTGTCACTGCTGAGCGCTGCCAGCTCACACTGCTTACTGTCTGCTATCCTGTTGTATTCTAGACATTTCAAGAGAGATTGGTCAAAATGAAAAAACAATAATAACTCAGGTAACATCAGTGCCCCATGTTGGAATATCCCGCCTGTACATGAATTTTGTTCCTCTGTGTTTTTGTGTGTTTGAATCTGATCCCAACCACACCGTTATCCTTTGTCCCATGTATTCATTGTATTATATTAAAACGCTATCTTCGGAGAGGGGTAAACGATGAAAGGACTTGCTTTAGACATATTTATTTTTTTCTGACCTGGAAGGAAATCTGAAAAATCACAGGCATGGTGTCATTTCTCAATGTTGGACCAGTCCAAAATCCTACAGCAGTGCTATTCATTAGAGATGAGGAAACTTCTTCTTTTTTTCAAGAAAAAATAATAATAATAAAAAGATTTTAGAGAAAATGTTGCCAGGATTATTTCCAAGATGTAAATATGTCCAATATGTAAACTTGTATTTGTTCTGAGATATTGTTTTGTTTTGTTTCTTTCCGGGCAGTTTTGTACACTTACTAATTCCAAGAAGATATTTTAATATGATTTCATTTATGAATCTGACCATTTATATATATCTATTTATTTCTTAAACGTGTTTGGAGCTTTTTGTTTGGCTCTGTTAATGGTTATGTTGCAGTGGATTTCAGTATTTTTTTCCCTTTTTGTTTACTACATTGGTTGTATGTTGATTGCTAAATGTAGACTGCAAAGTCACATTTATATTTATGTTATAGTAATATTTTATTACTTACATAAAATATATATAAAAAAAATTGTCTTTTGTCTTCATTGACATCCAAGCCCCTCTTTGTTGCTGTCCATTGTAGCATCACCAGGCAAACAAGATAAACGTGATCATAAAGTTTGATGCTGTTCAGTGTGCTGAGGATCCGAAGATGGTGAGCCCACCATGTGTTCAGTCTAAATAGCAGTGATTCGTTATGTAACAGGAGATCGTTTAAAATCAGAAGCTGTGTACATGTGCTGTAAAGGGAAATAGACAGTTTCTTTTTTTTTACCTCAGGCAATCCCTGCTAAGTTCACAGTCTCTGACGCTGTTCACATCTTTGTGTAATAATCGCAGTATTAAATTGTGCAATATTAATACGGAATTACTGTCTTTTTATTGATTGATTTTATTATTATTATTATTATTATGTTTTCCAAATAAACCTTCGTCTGTCTTAAGCATCTGACTTGTGACTTTTCCAAAGAGAGGGAGAGAAATCACAATAAACAAAAACGGCAAGTCCGAATGTTTTATATATGTGTAAAGATAGATCTGCATTCATAGGCAACATATTTCTATATGAAATAGTACATAACTGCATGTTCAGTTTCTCTGAATCATATAACCCTATTTATTTAACACACTATTAAAGTTTGGCCCCCCTATCATCCCCATAACCATGGGGCTACAGCGGAATCATTCCTACATTTAGACCTCTACACTCACATCTACGTATTAGACCAGGATTGGATTTTTTTGGTATAAATTCATTGCAGACTTTTGGTATTTTTAATTTAAAACCACACGCTTTTACATTTTGAAAATGATCGTGAAAGGTTTCAAAATAAAAGGATGTACAGCTATGCGTGTCAAAACAATCATGTCTACATTTAGGCTATTACTTAAATTATCAAGTTATTTCAAATAATCAACAGTTTAACATCACGTTTATATTTTATTAATCTACTTTCTCAGTGAAAGTGCCGTTATCAAACCTGACAACGCAGCACAAAGTTGGATGTAGTTTTCAGTTTTTAAATAAAACTTCAGTCAGATTTTGGACACAGACATTTACTCGGATGTTATTAATTTCTACAAAATGTACACGCGCTGACATCTATCCACGTGTATTTTCCGTCGTTTTGCGTAATTAGATTTTACTTAAAAGATGAATTAGTGTACCTCGTCTGCACAGCCGCCTCATGCGCTGAACAAACATATATGTAACTAGACATAATATGAGTCTGTCGAATTTTTAATCAGCACTTTGTGTTACTGAGACACAAATGAATAAAGTGGCTTTGCAGTGGCCCAGGTGGTCAAAGTGTGGGAGGGCAGGTCAACATTGAGGAGCAAACTGATTCACGGAGAACTGCGAGCCACAGGCGCCCCCTGCTGGCTCAACGTGGGGATCGCAACGCCAACGCTCTAAAGTTTGATAGAGATGAACTACAACAGCAAAAGTAATATAATACAACTAATATAATAATAGTCATCAACGTCATTCGCCATAAATGTGTATGCTGGTGTGAAACACACAGCTCAGATATGTACTACAGTAGCTTCACTTGTTCAATCAGTCTGTTCCTTTACAGAAGTTTATGACAGAAAATGAATTGTTTTCCTTGTCATGTTAAATATCAGCCTGGGCCTATGCAGGAAGTAAACTACTGTTCCTGTGAAGCTGGAGTTGACCAGTCCTCATTGTCCACCTCTTCACTGTAATGTTCCAAACAGAAAAACGTCACAATCCATTTTTAAAGGTGTTAAATGTGACTCAGTAAAGAATTAAATCATCCCCCCATTATGGGGAATAGCCAGTTTGAGGCCCTAGTACACTAGTACAATACAGATTGAAATGTAGTGCAAAACACAGAGGCTTACAGAATGCACAGAGCTGGTGAAACAGAAGGAGTCTGAAGTTGACCGCAGAAGAGAGACGGCGCTGACCGGTACCAACTGTGATTTTTTCATGACATTAAATTTTTATTCTATACCCTATAAAGGGACACAACTTCCATTATGCAGATCAATCAATAATACATGAGTTGAACTCATCACAAAACAGCCAAACCTGGGTATTTGACCCACAAATCACCACTGTTCACCCCTTCCTCTTCTTCCCCTCTCAGCAGTCTGAGTGGGCCCTCGATAGCACTTGCAGAGGAGCTCCAGCATCAGCAGTGCCCAGGCGCTTGTGAATACTACTGCCTCCTTCATCAGAGAAGAATCGTCACACACAGGAGATGTGGATTAGTGATGATTAGCAGGGATTATAGCTGGTTAATGGTGGGAAAATACATTAGGAATCACTGGCTCTGGGAGAGGGAGGGGATTTCACTCACACTAGCGGATTTGCATTGATCCACAGTAAATGAATGAGGATTAGCAGCATCAAGCTATCTGCCAACAAATAAATAACATTAAGCACATTATACACCAACGCCTCTATTAATGACATTATAAACACCACTGTAATGCTGGCAATTTTGAAAGTAATAGGAGCGGTTGAATAATGTGAAGAATGTACTTGGTTTGGAATTCTCGGATTCCAGATCGTCCTCATGTGCAGAGACATGCGATGCTGGACAGACAAGAAGCATATAGTTTTTGGGTACCCTTTAGCACATACATTAAGGGGTTTATATATTGCCAATGTATTAATAACTTTTTTATTATTGCTTTATAGGCACATCTGTACTTTAAATCGCCAGGAAGAATCCCTCAAAGAATAATTCCACCACATACTTTCTAGAAAAGACCTAAAGAGCACCTCAACCAAAAGCCATTCATTAAGAACTTATTAACATGTATAACTCCAAATTTATTAGATTATGGTATTGAGAAAAGTCTTTATTAATTATTTACTCGGTCCCTAACAATCAAACGGGATTATATCCCACATGTTTCACTGGCAACCCAAAATCTGTCTTTAATACTTACTTATAACAGATCAATAAAGTATTAATACATTATAATTGAGTCAATAACAAAGACTAACAAGTAAGTTTTATTAGACACTGGTTCCATTTTTAGGAGAACTTCTTTAACTACATCCTTTTTGAGCATGAATGCAGCCTGAGATCCTCTGGCAGACGTCTGCTAGTGATTCAAGGTTTAAAAGGAAATCGTGTTTTTTTGACTCAGGGCCCCTCAACTGTGGAACAGTCTGTCGTTGGAGGTCAGGCAGTCAGATTCCTTTTTTTAAATCTCTCTTAAAACATACTTTTCAGAATAGAATTTTCTTGAATAATTCTATAGCTTTATGTTTTTAGTCTGTGTTTTAGTGCAGCTATGGTTTGACCTGACTTGTTATTATTGCTGTATTATTTCTTCTTATAATTAACATTTTTCTGGTGCTTTATTCTTTTTTGCTTATTTGTCTTTTTTAAAATCATTTTCTTGTTTAAAAGTGCTATATAAATTACGTTTATGGCAGGTAGTGGTAACATTCAGTTGGATCAGTACTGAAATATGATTGACACTAATTCAATTCATAGAGAGGACATCTACAATGTGTTGCTGCTGCATATTACGCTGTAGCTATTTGTGTGGACAAGAAAAAAGTGCTCATTCTACCATCTAACCCACATTTTTAACCCAACAGGTGAAAGTGCCTGTGGATTTCTTGCTCCCTATTACGACGTCTTCCTCCAGCTGAGTTCTCCTCTCCTCTTTTGCTGTTTATGTAATAAACACTCTTCTCCCATAGTGAGTGCTGGAGCAAGGGGGGATGGGGACTGAAAAAAAGAACAGAATAATGCATTTTTTCATCAAAAATTCCTTCTCTTCCCCTACCTCAAGGTTTCCTCCTCGGAGCCACTTGAAAGATGGGCAACAATGTGGCCACACAGTGAACACCTAGTTACCATATGAAACACTCCAGCAGTGAACTGGAGGAGACGGAGGAGGGAGAGGAGAAGTCTTGTGTTATTTATGATACTGGTCCTTGTAGCTATATGGGTTCCCCCTTCATGTCGACTTCGAGGTATGGCCCCCATATGCGAAGGGGTATAAGTGCAGCTTTAGAAAGTTACTCTCCCCTCCCATCTGTCTCTCTTTGCTCCTCACTCAGAGCTTTTGAAGAAGAGAAGTAGCCCGTCTCCCACTTTCATGGCTTTGAGGGACATTTTATATCGCTTCAGGTGTCTGTCACTGTGACTAACAGTTCTGAGAGTAGAGAACTAATATCTCAGGAACTTGCCTCTAGGCAGCAGCACATAGATGTTACTGTTGGTGGCACACAATGAGAAGAAAGTCATACTTAAGAGGTATTCAGTGGCAGCAATTACTACTGATTCAGTAAGCTGGCTGGTATTAAACAATGGCTGTGACAACCTGAGCAGGTGATAAGAACACAGTGAGAAAGGCAAGATAAATGTAATCATGTGTACTACACATACTGCCTTCATTTTATAGCATCTCTGACAAACGCTTGCAGAGAACCAAAGGAAATGTATTAGAGATAATACATGAACCAGACAAAGCTGTAATCATTTTCTTTGGGGGGGGCGGGGGTTCTTTTTAGGACGTCACAACAAATCTGAAGTCACACAGTACAGCTGCTGACGAGGCCTTTTAGTCTACTGCACAAGGTTGCAAAGTTAATTGCTGTGCCAAAAAGGACATGGCAGTCCAATGTTAAAGGTTGTCCCCTCTCTTCCCCTTCAAGCCTGGCTTTTGTCAACTGTAGCAAAGGTGTTGCAATGCCTCCTGACTTCAATAACAAGGTATACTGCAGAGAAGAGGAGAGAAAAAGAAAAGACAAGGCCTTTTGGTAAAGAGAGGGACACAGCTAAACAATAGGAAGGTCATCTAACCATGGAACACCCTGAGATGTTCAGGGCCTACATCAAATATATTCAGAAAGAAAAAAACATGGCTATTCAGTTCACAAATGTATA